GCTGGACGTGGTCGTGTACAACAACAACTTGATTCAGTATGTGAACGTAGCAGCAGAAAGCACCACCAACGGAACTCTGAAGCGAAGTCCGTTGTTGCCACAGTCAATGTGGATACAAAACTCCGTACTAAATAGTCAATGTGCACTGGAATAAAGTAATGGGATTTGTTATTGTCTTTGTTCTGGCCTTCTTAGCTTTCGCAACCGACTCATCAAGTATGTGGTATGCGCACCCACGTATTTTTTGGTTTGGGGGTATGTGTGCGAAACACGGATGACAGCACAAAGTTAGCTTTAATTAGTATTCGTACACCTGCAACTGTGTGAGAGAAATGGCCATAACTGAACGCCGAATCCATTTCGGGGATGTGCTTCACTGTTACCATGAAACTGAAGCACATCCCCGAAATGGATTCGGCGCCAAGCACCGCGTATGCGAGCATTTTGATTGTTCGGTCGATGTCCAAGATGGGGCTGCTGAGGAAGCTGAGGAAGCACGTCCCCAACTCGGGGGGATGCCATCGCGGTCGATTTCGGTACGTGAATTGCCCCCGACCCAGTCTAGAGCTTGGAATAGGATGATACACTGAGGCCAACAGGTCGCATAGTGGACGCCCGCTGACCCCTCGCCCTCAATCGTCTTGGCGAATTCTACCCGGTAGTGCCGGTAGACAAGTTGGTACAGTACTGTATACTTGGCATTTGTCAGATTCGAATACCGGTAAACGTTCAGGCCACGTTAACGTTAACGTTAACTAAACATGCCGATGGCAACGTTCTCGCAACCCTTGCAAAATCGTATGTACCGGTGGTAACGTTATTCCATGTACTAGTACTCCGGAGTAATAATGTAGTTCGATACATACTCTTGAAACATCAAGGACATGAGTGTTCCCCAGTACATTCCAACCCCCCCCACCGCTTGACGTTCGTTGTATATCCCTTCCCTGCTCATTACAACATTTGCTCGGCGCACGAAATTTGGCTTGCCTCGTTGGCCCCCGTCGTTGGTGATATCGAAACCGTCCCCCATTCCTCTCCGCCATGACGATCGTGTGGTCATTGTGGGCGAAGGGCAAAGCGGGCGTCCACTACGCGACCCTTTTGATCATGAAGGGACTCAAGCATGTTGTACTACTCGAAGCTCTAGACCGAGTCGGACACAAGATAATCGCGCACCGAAATCGATCGCGACGGCATCCCCCACGAATCCCATTTTCGACTTGCTCCACGAAATCGTCCCCACAAACGAACAGTTCGCGTGGGAGATCTTCGCGATAAACGAGTCTCACCTGACGCATTGCGATGTTTGTGGCCATATGCTTGCCATGTACTGGTATATATTCAGTTGGAATGCAAGGGATGGCGTGAAATTTACTGTATGTACACAGCTGTGTACTGTACCGAGCGAGGAGTCCCATTACGTCCTAAGTCAAAGTAGTACTACTACGTCGTAAGTTTACTGTTACCGGTAGTTACTGCTACAGTACCAGGGTACAGTCATTCAAAGTGAGCACATTTGAAAACACACTGTACTCCAACATTCTAGTACTACGTAGTACATACTACTATACCGGTACACCATTACCCGATCAAGTACATGCCTTTGGATGAATTGTTGACACGGCAACAAATCGTCGGATATATCCACGATTGATAATCCATGATTGATACAGTAGTATTTTACTAGGCACAATATACAAAGTCCGGTATTAATTTAAGCAATAGGCATTTTCTGAGAAAAGCCAGTCCTTTGGTTAAAATAAGGGAATTAGACAAAGTGATACGTAGTCCACCCACTGTAGTCAGCGTGAGATATTTCTACACGAATGCAAGAACGTTACATTTCGCATGTCAATCCAATCAGGGGCAAAACCAAATATCTTCCAAGTGCCAACCAATAGAACCGTCAGACGTTGCACACAGTCGTGATATCGTTCAGTGTATGCATCCTCATTATTCATTTTGCTGTCAGTAGTCCCATGAAAGTGTTTGGCTGGTTTGTCTTGGTGGCACCACTTCTGTCGTTGGTGGCATCGGCGCCTTCCCCCATTACACTCCGCCAAAACGATCGAGTGGTCATTGTGGGCGGGGGTCCGGCGGGCATCCACTACGCATCCCTTTTGGTCAAGAAGGGCCTCAAGAAAGTTGTCCTCCTCGAAGCGTTGGATCGAGTTGGGGGCAAGTCGCGTACTGAAATCGACCGCGACGGCATCCCCCACGAGTTGGGGACGTGCTTCCTCAACGGCGTCTACGGTCCCATCTTCGACTTGCTTAACGAGTACGACCCCACAAACGAAAAGTTTGTGTGGGCGTTGAACGCACCAAACTATGTAAAAGTGTTGGGTGAAAGCATTGGGGCGACTGACGCGGACCCGGTGACCAGCTTGGACTATTCGCAATACAACACTCGATCGATCGCGTTGAATGCCCCGCCCGAGCTCCCACGCAACGCCAGCGTCACCGAGCTGCAAGACCTTGTCCGGTCCCAAATCGGCCGGTACATTGCACTTCACTATGCCATCTTTGGCAAGTACTCGTACGGAGTTCCCCCTCCCCCTAAAGACTGGAGCCTCATCGACATGACGGCCATGGAGTTTTTGAAGCGAAACAACCTCACGGCGCTCGAAGGCGCGCTTCGGTTTTCCCAGCAGCAACAAGGCTACGGCGTGCTCGAGACGATCCCTGCGTTCTACATGCTGTGGTGGGTCCACCCAGACCAGTTTCTTAAGAAAACCAACGTGTTTTCGCTGCGAAAGGGCTTTCAGAGTCTGTGGACCGCAGTCCACGCTGCGCACAAGGACCAGTACAAAACCATCTTTCTCGCAAGAGCAACCAGCGTTTCCAGAGGCAACAAATGGAACAAGCCACGCGTAACGTACCAAACGAAATGGGGGGACCTCGATACTATCGAGGCTGACCATGTGGTCATGGCTGTGGACTTGAGTCTGTACGCTGGTCTGGTGGAGGATCTGTCTGCCGAGGAGAAGCAGCTCTTCCAAGGGGGCGACTACACCGCGTCCGCGTTCTTGTCGACCTTGTACGAGTCGGATGCGTCGCCTATCGAGACGGCCAGTGTCGGCTGGTTCGGTCGCATGCAAGAAAATGGACGGGTGTCGGCCGTGCGCAATTCCAAGCTCTCGTATTTGTTCACTAACTCGACGGACTGGGGCGACCTGGCCAAAGGACGCCAAACCAACCTGGCATACCAGTACTACAGCCACCCGTTGGACAAGGTAAACTCGACCGCGTCCAAGGCGCAGCTGGACGCCGACCTCAAGTTGGCTGGCATCAAGAACGTGGAAGTGGCAACGCAGCTACACACCAACTACTTTCCGCGGTTCACCCCCGCGGGGCTCAAGAAGGGGTTGCTGTGGAAGATCTGGGACATCCAAGGCCAACGCAAGACGACGTGGATCGGCAGCAGCGTCAGCTTTGAGAGCGTGCTGGACGTGGTCGTGTACAACAACAACTTGATTCAGTATGTGAACGTGACAGTGCCCAAAAAACAATGAAGTAAAATATCAATTTATGTTATTGTACGCTTCAGCTTGATTCGTTAATCGACCAACCCTTGGTAAGGCCGCTGCTGACCATGAGGAGATCTGTTGGTCCATTGGATTCTGTATCAATTACCGAAGGATAAACGAGGTCACGATCATACAGACGGCCACGGATAGACGTCCTCTTGGACTCATGGTGGAACCGACATACTTCTTGACGATGTATGCGCCCTAAGTGCAATCTTGGTCGTGGTGAAGTTGTCCACCCGATGGGCCATGCCAGCCCACGCGTCAAGGTTGGGCTGCACATACTACTTGTCCGTCAAGCGCAGCTTGGACAGTGAGGTGGACGCCGGGCCTAGGTAGGCCAGAAGCAGCAGGACGTGGTAGATCACGTCATGGACATTGAGCAAGTGGTTTTGGCTCACCTGGCAAAAGATGCCAATCTTGGCCTGCGTGGCGGGCTCTTACTGGCTTGTCGAATTGGCCCCGTGTAATTTACTTTGATGCGGAAGACTGGTCATTCTTCTCGGACTTTGCAATGTAGTGCAGCCGACTATTTCGTACTCCGGAGTATGTCGATCCCTGGGCTTTCCCGGATTATTTCCGCAAGGATTTATCCTCCCCTGGGGAATCCGGATAACAAGGGCTGTGTCGAAGCTAGTATACGTACAGTATAGTAAAATTTTACTAACGTGGCCGGACCATTGATGTTCCGATTGTCCATGACGACTTATTCATCCAATCAAACCCTAAATCAATTTTCATTGGACAAAATGCAACCTCTAGACAAAGGATACCTGTATAAATTCATGCTAATTACACTAATATTTGTGTTTACAGTTAAAAGTACTTCTATACATGATACCTGTTCGAATTGTATAAACCTTTATAAAATGGTTTCGTTTTCAATACATAACTCAAGTATAAAAATCGGCACATCAATGGTCGCCCTGTGTAAAGTACTCAACTTCAAAAATTAATTGTACAATCCTAAACTGTTTAAATCGATATACTTTGGGCTCATTCGAAAGAGCTCAACGTTATACATCCAAAAATGTATGTATCAAGGGAGGATGAAAATGAAGAAAAATCGGCACATCAATGGTCGGCCACGTTATACTGTTTGTGTATGAATCATACACTTCAGTATATTGTACTAGTATTGTGTATGATTAGGAATTATCAATTGAATTAACTATGCAGACGTTCTAGAAATTTCTGAAATAGTTTTGAATTAACTATGCAGACGTGTTTTCAGGGAATTTAGGTGAATTGTATTAATTTCCTAAGTGTGCAACTCGTACATTCTTTGTGCAACCAAAAAAATAATAAAATATTACGCAATATGTTGTTTCACTTAACTCCTTTGACTCTTCATCACTATCCCTGGCGCCTCCGTCTCTTTCTTCTCCCATCATGACGCTCACCAGACTTCCAGTTGTAGAAGTGTCCGCATTCATATACAATTGCACGAGCTTTATCACATTTCGGGGCTCAGTCGGGCTCGGCGCTTTGTGAGGACGAAGTCGTAAATGCTCCAAACACGCTCTGATGCAGCTTGTGACGTCGGAACGCTGAACACGGTTTGGGAGAGGACAAGTACAAATAGCGAGTATACTGTTCATTCTACAAATTCATCAAAGTGAAATTATACGTGTTAAGAGGTTATTATTATGAAGGTGAATTAACTAGAGTGCTCACAATCGCTTTCGGCATCACTGTCACTGCCACTCTGCGCCGAAGGCTCCTCGTCGGATTGTAAGCCGTCAATTGCCAGCAAATGCTCGTACAGCTTCTGCAAATTCCCCTCTGCAGCTTTGATACAGCCTTGAATAGTGCTGGCTTTCAATTCTTCGACCGCTTCTTCGAGTCGTTCCTTCACATCCGCAAGCCCCGTACCATCAGTGTAGCGACGACCAACATGTCCTTTCACATTCGACCACACCAGCTCAATTGGTTGCAAGTCGGAGTGATAGGGGGGGCTGAAGACGACTCTATGGTCCTTGTCGATTGCCATTTGGACTACTTGAGGCTGGATGTGCTTTTCAATGTACGCCGATAGCTTTTCCCAGAGAATGCTCTTGAAATCTGTCGGCTCGAACAGTATCCCATATCGCGTGCATGCTGCCTGCAGCATTGTTTTGCATAGCCGGCTGGTCGGTGTTCCGACAGGCCTGCCTTTGCGATACTTAGCATTATCCATCACAATGGGTGACTGCCAAATATCTCGCAAATCAAATTTTCTTTCGGTTGGATCTGTGACATTTTCGAAATAAAAGTACGCTCGCAAGTTTGCGAAGACGGTTTTTTCGACTTCGCAAACAAACCATTTGCGACCACCCAACTCGCATCCGCACCTTGTTATCTTATACTTCAAATATTGATTCATGTAGTTCTTCAAGATGTCGATGAATGGTGTTGCCACAAATCTCCGTTCGCCATGGCAAAGAAGTCGGGTCGAGGCAAGTCGTGGTGCCCAGCATCCGTAGACCTCCTTCTCGACATCACAGTTGATGTACTACCTCTCGGTAAGAACGGATGGGAAAAGGTGGAACGCCGGTTCAACCGCTTGGCTGAACCGAAGCTGCTCCCCATACGCGACGCAGATGCACTAAAGCGCAAGTTCTTGCTTCTCAAGAACCACGCAAAGCCGACGGGCGATCCTGACTGTCCCGAAGAAGTGCAAAGGGCGAAGCGCATTCAACGCGACATCGACCTGTCGGCGTCAGTGCTGTCTCTCGACGACGACTTCGAAGAAGGTACATGCTAATCAACCTCAATCTCTCAACGACGTTGCATAGATACCCTGCTCTCCCCTCCGACGCAACTCCTCACCCCACCGATGCAACCCAGTGTGCCCACTTGCCACGAGGACGACGAAGATGTTGGTCGTACTGGATTGCCCTGCTCGGAGTTGCAGCTGCTGAGCGACAAGTTGAAGCGGGGTCGGGATCCCTCCGATGTGGCTGGGGGGTTGCTGTCCTACACGGCGAAAAGGCGTCGTTCCATCGACAAGTTTATCGACGGCGCTGCCGATGCTGATGCCAAAGCGTCATCCGATATGATGACATTGTTTCTACTGATGGACGAGCGGGCGGCGAAGCGTGAAGAGAGCCGTATTGAGCGTGAAGAGAAGTACGATCGC